TGTGTTGAAATGTGGCTGTGAAGGAGGCTGATGCTCTCAAAAGGAGGATATTTAGGTGGACAGAGAGTCCAACAGTAGTGAAAACTTGATGTTTCACAGCCAGAAGCTCTGCTGGGGGCTACTCAGGAACGTCCCACCCGAGGCTGACACACGGACAAGCTGTTTGCAGTGTTGAGCCTCCAATTCACGTCCACATCAAGGAACTGGAGGAGCCCAGGGAATGAGGAATCGTCCATTCTTCCTTTAAGAACCCCAAGGATTTAATTTAGTGGTAGAATTACAGAATCAGAGCATCCTGGGGTGGTTTGGGTTGGAAGGCACCTTAAAGATCATCTCGTTCCAACCCTTCTGCCGTGGGTTCCTTCCACCAGAAGGTTTCTTAGGGATTTTTTGAGAATTCAGGAGCCCAGCCAGCCCTTGGAATTGGTGCTGGGGATCTGCTGGTGCTCTCACAGCGGGGTTGGTTCCTTTGGAGCAGTGGGACACGTCTTGGACCATCCCAGGGCTGAAGAGAGCAGTGGATCCAGACCTTCCCTCTCCTCAAGAGCCCCACATTGTGCAGCTGAGCTGAACGGGAACTTCTGGAAACAGAACAGGGATTTCCTCCCTGCTTTGGAAAGGCCTGAGCAGCCCCTGTAACTCCAACAGAGGAGCACAGACTTAAAGCCAACGACTTGAACTCCAAACCATCTGCCAGTGTCCTGGTGTTCCTCCCACCCCACTTGGTGGCTGCTGGGGGGCCCTCTCAGAAGTTTGGATTTATTGGGGTGGCTCCCATGGCTTTGGGGTTTTAGGGCAAAGCTCTAGCTCATAGCAGCTCTTTACACCTAAGGGAACATCTCCATTTTTGGAAGTTTGTTCAGAAAGGATTTCTGAGATTTTTTTTTTTAGTGGTGGTAAGAGGGGATTTGTTGCTCAATAATAGGCCCGAGGTTGGATAATTTGCTGAAGGAATTTGTGTTGCTCCACTGAAAGCAGTAGGCCTGTGTCTGTTATTAACACCTGGAAGAAGGCCTGGTTTGGAAACTTTGGGTGGGGGAAAAACAATAGTGTGTTATTAAATAAAAAAAAAAAATAAAAGGAAAAAACAAAAGTGAGGAGTGAGAGAGGACTGTGCAACTCTGGGCATTCAGTTTATACAAAGCACCTCTGCGCCGTTTCTGATCCTTGAAGAAGGAATTGGAAGATGCAGGAGATCCCTGAGAGCTTGCATTGACCTCTGGAAATTCTTTTGCTCCTGGAAATCACAAGATATTCTGTGAAAAAGTCATCAAAACGTAATAGTGAATGATACAGAGGTGTAACGGGCCCTGATTAATTAGGTGGTCAATTAAGTTGTTACACTTATGTTCCTCAAATGTGATTTTGCCAAAAATATCCCCACAGGGAATTGGGGTTCCATAGGACTGAGGGCTGAAGTTCCCAGGTTTAAACCATTTCCTGCCAATGAAAACACCACTCGGCAAATACGGCTTGAAAATCCATTGTTAATTGACAGCATTCAATTCTTAATTGTCTTTTTACCAATCCAGTTGAAATCATTGACACAAAATACATTGTTAAACTGCTTAATCAATCATTGTAGAAAAATAGAGGTGTTTGATAGGGACATTCTAGTACAAAGTTTCCTTGAAGCTTCCCCGTTGAAAGCTTTGGAGGCTTCTATTTGTATTATTATTTTTTTTTTGTTTGGTTGTTTTTTTTTTTAAAGCTTATGTTACAAAAAAATGAGAGTTCATAAACTTTACAGTCCGTACTACGTTGATACCAAAGACAATAAAATACAGGAGTGGGGAAAGAGAGGGAAAGAGAGAGAAAGAGAGAGA